TTTTTTGTTTTTTAATTAAAAAATTTTTTTTCCTCTGAAATTGTAGGAAATTACGTTTAAATATATTTTAGAAAGCTAAAAAAGCTTTTTGGAAAAAAAAATTTTTTTACGAAATTTTGGGGGTACCCCATTTTGCCACCCCTACCCCATTTTGCCCCCCCCTCCCCTATAATAATGATTAAATTGAAATATTATCAAAAATAATAAATTAAATTTTTAATAATTAAATATAAAAAAGGCTTATAAAAATATTTTCTTCACAAAAATTTATTTATTTCTAAATTAATTTATTTTTGGAGTGAATGCGGAGTGAATTTTATTATTAATAAAAATTAACTCCTTCTCGGAGTAAATATCACTCCCGCTGGGAGTGAATCAATTAAAAATCATTCACTCCTCATTCACTCCGCGTTCACTCCGCAAATTTTTTACAGTGTAGCTTCTAAAAACTTTAAATATGGTAGGAATCTTTCATTTCTCATGTAGAGATCATTTTATAATGGATTTCAATAAAGTCTTCTTCCAAGAGGAATCGCGGGGGTAGGTGTTAAAATCTTAAATTTTAATTTTAAACCTGTAACTTCTAAAGACTCCAAATTATGTAGGAATCTTCTTGTATGATGTCAAGTTCAGCTCAGAATGGATTGTCTAGAATTCTAACCCCAAAAGAGATTGCGGGGGCGTTAACAATAAAAATCTCTCATTTCCAAACAATAGTTTCTATGGACACGAAATTTTGTTGGAATCTGTTATTTATAATAGAAATCATGTCGAATAGGATCTTACAAAATTCCTCCCCCACATAGGAGTACGGGAGTGATAATTGTCAAAAAATTCGTATTCTTCAAATACAGTTTATACAAATAAAAAATGTAACTGGTTATAATGAATGGATTTTTTAAACACTTGAGCTGTGGAAAAAAAATGAGCCGAATCGTAAGAAGTGACTTAATGACGTTAATATGACTAAGACAAATACCATGATAAATATATCACGCTCGTTTGGGGACCGAACCTGAAGACTCAATGATACTGGAGAACGATCTTAATCCCGAAATGACTTGTATAATTGAGACAATGAAACCGAACAAATTTTAGCAAATTTCGATCTCATCTCTGTTACTAAGTTCCTGGCTCGTGACTAGGATCAGCAAATACTTTTTCAAATCAATGTATGGATCAAGACATACAAAGGAATACGTAGAGTAATACAATTAACTGTACGTTGTGGCAATGTTGTTGAATGCACGGTGGTCATATGGCAACAAGAGGCAACTATTAAAAACTGACTGTTATAAATTACCATCTCTCATGGGTTCTGAAAATTAAAATTACCCAATTTTAATTTATAAAGAGGTACTACTGTGCAAATGAAATATTAATCAAATATTAATACATGATATTTTGTCTCACGAAAATTCAGTTCACTAAATTAGATTTTATATTTTCCATAATGAAACTTAAATAGTAGAGACTTAAAAGAACGGTTTAGACTTTTTTTCTCTTTTGCTTCTATTGGGCAAACGGAAGTATCTCTGTCACAATTGTACAACAAATGAAATCTGAAAACGCATTTTATGCATAAATAAATAAAAATTTTTTTAAAATGCGTTTCGCCCTTCGATAGAATTGAATTATCTATCGAAGAGCGAAGCGCTTTTTTTTGAAATTCTATCTTATACATGAGCAAAACAAGTTTAAAAATACATTATTAACCGTTGTTAAGAAATGTGTATAATACATCTTAACAAATTATGTTTAAGTTGGATTTTTTGCTAAAATAAGTAAAACAGTTTACTCACATACAACATAGAGATTACCCGTCATAAAGGATGTTGCAAAAGCGGGTCCATCGGTAGATACTTCACATTTATATAGTCCAGCACTAGCAAGAGTTAAATCCATTAAACGTATTGAATTCGCTCGGCTTAGAAGATTCTAAAACAAAATGGTCATAAATATCCCACGAATACATAATCAATATTTAATAATCATAAAATTAACTCACTTGAAGCTTAACACCTAACTGCGGGAAGGTCTGAATTGATTGAGGATTGTTCGGAACGTAACGAAAGAATTCATGACCATCCTTGTACCATTTCACAGAATATAAGCTCTTATTACCATGGATTTCCCAATTACACTGCATATCTATATAATCACCGATTTTTGCCTCTTTTGGAATTTTCACGTTCACCTTTATGTCAGCTATAATAAATTAGTGAATTTTAAATTACCACATAGATACCATAAATGTATTTTCATAAAGTCAATTCATTTTTACTTCTATTTTAAAGTAGAATATTAACTTGTTAGCTTTTCTAGTCGTTCGAGATTGTTAATGTGTTAATAGAAATTTATCGAAAAAAAAAAAAAAAACAAAAAAAACCGAAATCATAGAAATATAATATTTGTGGTATAAAATCATTTACAAATTTTTTTTCACTTTTTTGGGGGAAATATTCTATAAATATAAAATTTCATTCAGTATTGGCAGCTGATATGTTTGTTTAATTAATTTGGATTCAATGAAGAAAAAAGAAAAACTTTTAACGCATTATAGTCGGAAATGAACTATTCACTGAAAAAAAAGTTTTTTTCCACCTAGGAAATTTTTCCCTCCTGTAAAGAAACTGGTATACCTGTGTGGAGAATACCAAAGTTTTTTTCCTACACTAATAAGTATAGTGATTTTTAAAAAACTCGGTTTCTTTCTCAGCAAAATACCAAAATAAAAATATGGCCGACTTAACCTCACTTGACACAGATGCATACGAAATGTTTATGATACAGTGGATCTTTTTTATTATAATTAATAAATTAATAATTATTAATTTATCAATTATAATTAAATTTAAGAAAATTAAATAAATTAAATTATAATAATTAAATTTAAGAAAATTAAATAAATTAAATTATAATAATTAAATTTAAGAAAATTAAATAAATTAAATTATAATAATTAAATTTAAGAAAATTAAATAAATTAAATTATAATAATTAAATTTAAGAAAATTAAATAAATTAAATTATAATAATTAAATTTAAGAAAATTAAATAAATTAAATTATAATAATTAAATTTAAGAAAATTAAATAAATTAAATTATAATAATTAAATTTAAGAAAATTAAATAAATTAAATTATAATAATTAAATTTAAGAAAATTAAATAAATTAAATTATAATAATTAAATTTAAGAAAATTAAATAAATTAAATTATAATAATTAAATTTAAGAAAATTAAATAAATTAAATTATAATAATTAAATTTAAGAAAATTAAATAAATTAAATTATAATAATTAAATTTAAGAAAATTAAATAAATTAAATTATAATAATTAAATTTAAGAAAATTAAATAAATTAAATTATAATAATTAAATTTAAGAAAATTAAATAAATTAAATTATAATAATTAAATTTAAGAA